CTTAGCATATGAGTATCTTCAGGGTTTTTCCATATTGTCATTTCAGTACTTTATTCCGTTTTATGCCTGAATAACATTCCATTGAATGGATAGCATACATTTTGTTTTTCCATTAATCAGTTGATGGACATTTGGGTTGTTTCCACTTTTTGGCTATTATGAGTAATGCTGCAGTAAACATTCATGTACAAGTCTTGCATGAACACATGTTTTCATTTCTCTTGAGTATATACCTAGAGGTGGAATTTCTGCTCATATGGTAACTTTGTGCTCAATTTTTTAAGGAACTTCCGAAATGTTTTCCTGTATAGCTGTTTATTAAATGCCATGTGTATGTTGTTTTTCACATGAGATCTGCTAGAGAGCAGGGTTGTGTCTTTAGTAAATCTATGTAACTATTATTGTTTCGTATGGTCCTAAACACCATATTATTAGTGAATCCAGCATTCCATCTAGCAAGTACTTCCTGAGCACCTTTGTGTCGCTGTGTCATAAGCCTGGGAATACAGCAGTGAGCAGAATAGAGAAGGTGTTGTCATGGACCTATGGTCTGGGAGAAGAGGTAGCCTTTAAATAATCCTCTCTCAACTAAAACTGTGATAAATGCTCTGAAGAAAAAGTGCAGGGAGCTCTTTTAGAGTTGGGGATAGTGAAAGTGCTAAAATCACTTTCGTATACTTTTGTTATCACCCTCTTGTACCCCTCACTAGCATACTGTGCACTTACCAGGTTTATTGCAATCATTTATATGTGCTTTTCCTTATGTATTTTGTTTCCTGCTTGTTTTAGTACAGTAGCAGAGCAAAAATTTAATACTCTATGTTATAAAGGCTCACAGGCAATGCTTTCACTTTGAGTATGGTCTTTTTTTTCCTTAACTAGGCTGTACAATATTTATGCAATAATGTTTATTGAGCACCTGTTGTATGCCAGGTACTCTTCATTACATTGGGACACATCAATCTACAAAATAGACAAAGGTCCCTGAAGCTATGGAGCTTAAATTCTGCTAGAGGGATTCAGACTATACTATAAAGTGTAAACATTTTAAAGAAATCACATAGTAAGTCAGAACGTGTTAGTGTTTTGAACAAAAGCATGGAGCAGGGTGTACCACGAATGTGTTTTGGGTGATGACTTAGAAGGGAAGTTAAAAAAAAAATTTTGGTAATAGTGGTAAAGGACTGGATGTTAACAAAAGATGTTAACAAAAATGAGAAAGCAGTGTTAAAGCTAGGATCTGGAAGGTATGTAGGTGAGGATGCAGGGAAAGATTGTTCCAGTCATGGAAATGTATGCAAAAGATTTGAGGCAGGGAAGAGCATGGTGCTTTCACCATGAGTGCATCAGGAGAATGAGGAGGAAGGGGCAAGGGGCGATGGTGGAGAGTAGGCAGGAGCTGCTGCATAAAAGGCTTTGTAGATGTTTGGACTTATTTTATGAGCCTAGGTAAGCCAGTTGAAGAGTTTTGAGCAAGGGGTGACAATTGTGTGTGTGTGTGTGTGTGTGTGTGTGTATTGATACATAATAATTCATAACTATTACATATATGTAATATAATTATATGTAGTCATTATAGCTACACTAGAAAATAAATTTGAAGGAGATCAAGAATGAATGCAGGAAACTATTGGTGAGACTAACACAGACCTCCAGTTGAGAGATAATGGTTGCTTGAACTAGGGGTGCTGGTGTTGGTGATAGTGGAGGAGATTTAAAAATATTGGCAGAATTTGAGATGCTTGGAGCATAAAATCAGCAGGATATTTTTAGTAGTAAAAATTATTCCAGATTTTCAGACTTTTTTGCATAATAGCAAAAGAGTTTAAAAATAAAGAGATGAACAGTAAAGCATATGAGCAGAATAAAACTGTCAAAAATCATAGTACAGCATTTTTAACAAAAAGAAATTAATTTGCTTGGAAGATATTGCTATAAAAACAACAATAAAACAACAGTAAAAAACTACCCAAACTAAGTGAATTTAACAAAGTTACAGGATGACAAGGTCATTTTACAAAAGTTTAATGCATTTCTATATACTACCAATGACCAATTGGAAAGTGGAATAAAAAATACCATTTATAATATTAAGAAATAAACATCAAGTATCAAGAAATAAATCTAATGAAAGATCCATTCACTGAAAACTACAAAACATCACTGAGAAAAATTAATGGAGATGAAAATAAATGGAGAAATATAGCTTGTCCATGAATTGAAAGACTTGAGATCCAAATCAAGTTCCAGGAGGGTGTGTGTGTGTGTGTGTGTGTGTTTCATTTTGTTTTAAGAATTGACACTTTGATTCTAAAATTTATATGGAAGTGTGAAGGATTTAGAACAGCCAAGGCAATATTGAAAAAGAACAAAATTGTAGACTTACACTAATTCCAAGATTTACTGTAAAGTTACAATAATCAAGATAGTGTATAGAGTTTTTAAGATATGTAAATTGGTCAGTGGAATAAATACAAAGTCCAGAAATCAATCCATCATACTACTATGTCAATTTAATGGGGGAAAGAAAAATCTTATGTACAGAATCTCAGGTATGTTGATTGAAAGCACAATACAAAAATACACACATACAATATGATTCCATGTGTATGATATGCAAGTCTAATCTGTGGTATCTGGTTTATACTTGTCTCTGGGGGATTGCCAAGGAGCGTAAGAGATCTTTCTGGAGTTCTCTATCTTGTTCTGAGTGGTGGATACATAGGTGTTTACAGTCCTCAAAACTCATTGAACAGAACACTTTCTCAGCAATTTTCAAGTATACAATGTATTAACTATAGTCACCATGCTATGCAATAGATTTCTAGAACTTACTCATCCTGTCTAACCTGAAGTGTTATTTTCATGTCAAGTGTCATCATTTTAGAGATACTGGACACTTTGTTAGGACCACTTCCAGGACTATGGAAGGGGCTTGTGCAGGTGAGAAGCCCTGAAACTTAAAACAGTTTAACTGCAAATAAAGAAAAACAAAAAACAAACAAAAAAAACCTGTTGCAGTTGGGAGAATGTTTACTAATATAAAGATCAGAAGGAAATAAATGACAATAAAAAGCTCTAAATACTACTGCAGTTTTTTCTAATTTAAATGAATGCAAACTTATAGTCCAATCATTCAGTATCAGTTAATCTTGGGTGTAGTTGATTTGAACAGCACTTTGCCCCCTCTCTTTGTTCAGTACTTATTATATGAGAGCACTTCAGAAAGTTCGTAGAAAAATAGAATTAAAAGATAATATGAATTTTTCCATGAACTTTTTGAAGCACCCTCTCATTGTAGCCACTGGGTTAAGGGATTAAATGGGAGAGTGCTGTCATTCATTATTTATTCTTTGTAACAATTAATTTTGAGGAAGATTCTGCTAGGCACTGGCAGAGACAGCAACTAAACCCCTGGCTTTCTTACTCTGTGTCATATGCTCTGAACCCCGGGTACTCCATGAGCAACATCAAGGAGCAGATTTATTCCTGGGATCAGTTTGGGTAAACTCTGCAGGCATTCGAGTTTTGTGTATTAGGATACAGTGATCAATTTTAGATGCCTGTGGTTTAGATTCTTGGCCGTTGACTGCTTGAATACTGTCAGAATTGGAACTTTAACTTAATTCATATAGTTACAGATATTATACTGGAAATACTTTAGTTTTAGCTCCTTAACTTAGTATGATTATTACTTTTTAAATTAATGACAGTGATCAATTTTAGATGCCTGTGGTTTAGATTCTTGGCCGTTGACTGCTTGAATACTGTAAGAATTGGAACTTTAACTTAATTCATATAGTTACAGATATTATACTGGAAATACTTTAGTTTTAGCTCCTTAACTTAGAATGATTATTACCTTTTAAATTAATCAAATACTTTAGTTTTAGCTCCTTAACTTAGTATGATTATTACTTTTTAAATTAATGAAGTTAATTCACCAAAATGCACTGTAAGATATTCATTCTTCCATTTATTCATTTGTTTTACAAGCATTTGTATGTCTTATGTGCCAGGAGTGTTACAAGATAATAGAGATAAGGAAATGAGTAAGACACGACTCCTGTGTCCAGGGAATTTGGAATCACAAAAAAATATATATTTAGATTAAAATAATTTATTTTGTAATACTAGTTTCAAGACCTGTCGGTATATAATTAATATTAGAACATTTGGGGGATTATTATCATTCAGATATTTTTCAGAGGGTTCAGGCTTCATCTCTGTTAATATCAAAAGAAACTGAAGGTAATGTTTTTGTACCTGTAAATTATTCACTTTGCAGATATTTACTGAGTAGTTACTTTGTGCCATGTACTGTGCTGTTTTCAGGGAATATAATGTTAAAGCAAATATTAGCTTTGCCCTCATGGGATTTACTGTCTGGATAATTTGCTTCTGGACCTTGACTTCTTTTCTTAAATGCTAAGAAATACCTACCCCTCTATCATAATTTAATAGTAGTCACTTCTTTCACTTTTTTCAGTAAACCAAATAAGAAAAAAAAATGCTTTTTTTGCATTATTGTAAACCTGATGGTGCAGATTCCTTATCTGTTGGCTTTAAATTTTTACTAACTAAATCTATTATGTTTGTGATTCTTTAAAAAAAAAAAAAAAAACATTGCTACTGTTGTGACATCTGAAATATTTTTGAGCTTGTCCCTCGCCTATCACATCATTTTCTGGGGGCTTTCGTTCTTCATCTGAGCCCAGTATTGTAATTCTTCTATGTGCCAAAGAAAACCATTGGTAATATCAATGAGATTGCTCTCTGTAGTGATGGGTTATTGTTGGGGCTAAGGTGCCCATTGGATGTTTTTGAATTCTTTGTATAATTTTATATATCATTGTTATAATTAGTTTTTAAACTTGTAAAAATTGCTACTAGTTATTTTATTTGAAGTTATTTATTTAAAAATGATCATTTCATCAGAAATAGCCTTTTCATAGTAAGTAAAAAAATGTTCTTAAAAATGTCACCTTTTCTCTTTCCAGTTTTGAGAAATGGTGCTTGGGAAATTGTTCACTGGGAAAAGGTATGCATTGATTTTTATTTTGTTCCAGGAGAAGAAATGCACAGAGGCATACTCTAGTAAATGTCATTTTTTATATAATATAAGCAAATGTCAAGAAGTCCACTAATATGAAACCTATTTAGTTATTAATGTTGTAAACATACATTGAGTCCTCAGTCACATCCATTTAATATTTCTACAATGTTCTAGAAAGACTATTATTTTGAAAAGTAATATCTAGAACTTTTTGTTTCTTTCATAGTATATTTTGAGTACTGTTTTCATAGATTTTATTTAATCATGAACTGTTTTGTGTTGTAATTTTTTGCTTTAATCATCTACTGTCCAAGTAAAAATAAAAGTTGAGTGTTGATATTTCATATTTGTATATTTTACCTCAAATTCGTATATTGAGACTAATCACATTTGCATACCGCTAACTCCTTTTACAAAGTATTACATACTAAACTTCATCTTCTAATGCACTGGAAATCAGTTTCATAAATCAGAGATTAAGTTGTTCATAGGACCTTTAACATGGCAGTGAGTTGAGTCATAATTTAATAAATGTTATCCGGGTGTTCATTCTTCTCAGACCTCACTTTCAAAAGGTAAGCAATTATTATTAGTTCTCCCTTGGTTCTGGAAGAAGATTTAACCTCTAGTCATCCACAGGTGGATAACCTTTGTAATTTGGTAAAAGATTTTTTGGAGGCCAGGCCACTCTACTGAGGGGACTTCATTTCCTGGGATTGCCAGGACACTAGAGATGTATCTCACAGGACAGTGTCTTGCTGGGACAATAGAGGTGTAACCGACAGTCAGTTTATTTGCACTCCAAATATTTCCCAGCTATTTTAAGTCTGTGCCCTTGATTCTACTTTGTGATGTTTATGGCCACCTTGCATCCCTATAGGGAGTAGGGTCCCCTCTCAATCAAAAATTAATTGCATTTTTGTTGATTTTAAATCAGTGGCTAGAATAGAGACTGACATCTCTTCTGGATACTTGAAAATTCACCCCTCTCTCTTTGGTCTTTGACATAAGAGTAACAAAGAGGAAAATACTTTGTGCTTTCTTTGTTTCTGTGATAATCATGTCTTTTTCAGAAGAGCGAAATGAAAAACAAAAAAGCTAAAAACATTTTCAAAATAAGTTTCTTTTATGCTCTTAGCTGGCACTTATGGATTTAAACATTTTAGAGAGAAGATAGGTAGGGTATAATCAAATATGGTAAATTGAATTTAAGTATGTTTTCATTACTAGGGTCATCAATGTAGTTAACATATATTCATATTTTAACAAATTGATATGACACTTTCTTCTTGACTGCTTGCTCAGAAAATAAACAGTTATGAAGTCAGGAGACAATCATTTACTGAACTCTAAAATTAACCTTAAATTGTTTTATTTTTCTAATAGACAAACATTTCAAGATTATGCTAATCTGTCTGGATTGTTATAACTCTTACTTTTTCAATTTTTTGACAAAAAAAAATTAAATCACCAGCCACTATTACCCATAATGGTAGCATATCTAGTTATCTTGGAGATAAGTGCCACTCCTAAACAGGGCATCCCATTTTGAGATGCAGAGGAATTGAATTTAAAGTGTTGCCTGAAGTCATGCAACCAAAATGAGCTGAAGTTATTTAATAATTAGAATTAGATAATTAATCAGAATTAATAAAATTGGTTTAGTGAAGATTTTAAGATAAATATTTTTAAGTTAAAAGCATTCTTATGTGGGCAATATTAAGTTAGAAAAGATAGTGAAAAAGAGATCTTATTCGTGGTGGTATGTGGTATGCTTACAAAAACTTAAAATATGTATATGACTTTTGTAAAAAAAAAAGCTTCCAAAATTTAGGTGTTAAATATTCACATAAATATACAAATATTTATATTCCTAGTAAAGTGAAAAATAAAATATCAGTTGGTGGTATGTGGTATGCTTACAAAAACTTAAAATATGTATATGACTTTTGTAAAAAAAAAAAGCTTCCAAAATTTAGGTGTTAAATACTCACATAAATATACAAATATTTATATTCCTAGTAAAGTGAAAAATAAAATATCAGTTTTTCCAAATTATTAATGTAATATCCCAGGGAAATTATCATTTTTCCTCAAGAGTTGACTAAATTATTAATCTGATTTTCAAAAACAAACCTCTGAGGAAATAGAGTATTTTAGAAAAATGAAAAACAATGTGCAAGGATTAACTGTAAGTAAAATGGAAAGCAAAAGTTATTAAAATAGTGTGGATCTCTTGCAAAAATAAACATTGATGAATAAAATAGCATGGAATAGATTGGAATAGTATAGAGTAAAATACGATGCCCTGAAATAAAGCACATTTAATATTTAATAAAGAAAGCAAAAATAACTACTCAAAGGATTAATCAGTCATGTTGAGATCACAGATTAGCATTAAGTTTATATCTGAGTCTCAGCCTGTGCTAAAATAAATTCCAACCGTCTAGAAGAGTTAAATATTGTAAGACTGGTTTTGAAAAACATACAAATAGAATAAAGACTTTAATAAATATTTGTAGAAGAGCAGTATCTCAAGATCTATGAAGTTTGATTATATAAAATTTGAAACTAATATACAGAAAACTACTACAAATAAGTAGGCAGGGTATGTAAAATATTTGCACCAAATATACTAAGATCATTGTTATATAAATAGGAAATAAAAGTTTGCAAAAAATAAAAAGAAATAAGCAACCAGACTCAGTATAACATTCAACTAGCAATAAAAGTTGCAAATGTAAACAGTATTGAAGTTTCATTTGCTATCTGTTCAATAAATAAAAACAAACTTACTTTATATATCAGAATTTTGATTTTTATGAAATATTTCATTCACATACTACTGTGGATTAGCAGTTTGGCTATTCATAATGAGAAACAGAAAGGGGATTTGGGGAATTTATCCCAAGAAAATATTCATAAAGTAGGAGATAACCTCTACATGTATAAAAATGTTTATTGTAGTATTATTTAGAATAGTGAAAAATTAGAATATATGGACATAAAACAATAGGGAAAGTGTTTTATAAATAAATTATGGCGTTCTACACTCATTTTGTGACAACTAAAAGCTGTAATTTCACTTGCTATAGCAACACAGAAAAAATTTATCTGATTCATTCAACAAAAATATATTGAGTGTATGTGCCAAGCAGTGAGTTCACAAGAGCAAGCAAGACATAAAGGTTCCTGTGTCATGAAATATAGTAATAGGTAAGAAGAAGAGGACTGTGTACATTAAGTTGCCAACTATGTAAAACTGGTTTATTGAACAAAGGGACAGGCAAAAAAGCAGGCTTGTTTGTTGGGTTAGCTTGATTGTGGGCAAGTCTTTGCCTTGGCTCATATAGTATTTTGTGCAATTAAAAATAAAATCAATAAACCAAAACCAAGAGTGTCATCCACATGTCAAGGTAATATGATAAACCTTAGTGCAAATGGGCTTTACTTCATGGTTCTTTCTTTCTCTGCCTTTCTAAATGTGTGGCCATGGTGGCGGTTTCTTAATGGTCCTCAAAGGACCTACAAATTTGCACAGAGCACATCTAGTCATTCACAGATGGGCAGACTTCAGCTCTCAGGCATTAATAGTCCATTTCTCCAGTTATTACCCTGAGGCCTTTTCCCTGTTGCAGAAGGTTGAGTTGCAAATATCTTGTTTTAAAAGAAAGTATTGCAATTAACAAAACCCGAAACAAAGAATACATCTCTGCGCTGGAAATGTAATCGGCTGGCTTCACTGCCATTACCACAGAGACCAAGTTCTTCACCTTGAGATGGCAGCTGAGATTGTTCACACATTTTTTAGATATATGCAGGTGGAGAATTTAGATGAAGAATCTTGGAATCAACACATTCTTCCGGCTTAGTAGGGGAGCATGGCATGGTGGGCCCCATTCATGTCACTCTGTAAAACTGCTTTAATGCATGAAGTTCCCACCACAAAACGTATTTCTTTGGATTAAGATTTTGTACTGCAAAATCAACCACATTGTATATTGACAAAATAAAAATTTAAAGGAAAAAAAAGAAAAAAGAAAAAAATAATAATAAAAAATAAAAATATTCTGGGTCTTAGAATTGGACAAAGACAGTTTGATTTTTAAATCAATCTGCTACAACTTGATAATCTTACCCTTTTACGTAATCCTTAGTCATAGTTGCTAATGTCAATGACTTGAGAAGGCTGAAGGGAAGGCTGAAACTAGTGGACTGAAAGCCCAAAATATTTCCCTAACTTCGGTATTTTGGGTACTGAAACTGCTTTGTCATGATGCTTCTCATGGGAGTATGTGGTCAAAGCATTTTTGCCATCTTGACTTCTTCTTCTGTCGTTCCTCCTGTGCACACATTGAGCTAGAAGAGTGAAGTGCCATACTAAGAGCTCAGAATCAAAAAGGAAAGAGGGGTACTTGGGAGTCTTTTGAGAAACTGATCAAAAACAGAAACATCATAAGAAGGAAATAAGTTCTCTGCTTTCCTCACAGTAATGTGAAAGCTACTACTTTAGCATTTAGTAAGCTCTTTCTTAGTTTTCCCAGGCCACTAGGGTAACTATGATACACCATATAAGGTGTTAATATTTTCATCAGTTTAATAACCACAAGCCTTTCTTTTGTCTTACAGTGGATAAAGTTGCGGAAATTAGTGCAGCAATTAGGGGTTTTTGTAAGTCTGTTAGACTCTAACACTGTGATATGGACAGATGTGATTCTGATTTTATGAAGCATACAGTTTAATTGGAGAGGAAACATTAACACACAGGAGGCAATTACAGGACTGTTAAATAGTAACCTGAGTAGCATTCTAAGTGCCATGATTGCAGTGAATTTATATTTTATTATCTTGCTGTCGGTGGTGCTATCAGAGTACTATCATAGCACATTATTTTAAGAGCCAGTTTACATTTATACTTGCAGTTTTATTTTTCGTGTTTGCCCTCTTTTTGAGGTAGGGGGTGTTTGATTCCAAGGTCCCTGGCAATTTGTCAATTTCAAATAATCTGAATTTCAGATTTCAGCTGAGGTAAATCATTTTTGAATCAAAGCATCCAGAGCTTCCCTACCTGGGTAACCATCGTACATACCCTATTGTATATACCATCATACATCAGACACCCCTACCTATCCCCACTATCAACCTTCCCTGACCTGTTCCTCCCTGAATATACTGTAGAACACCATGGGCTGTCTGCAAAAATTTCTTATTGTGATTGTGACTAAGAACACTATTTTCTCCCTCTTCACAGTAAAGTGTTATTTTACAGTTCAAGGAAAAGGGGGTGGGGGGTGGGAACAGAAAAGTTTTAACCAAAAAAGGCTTTTCTTCCCTCTATTAAGTATTGAAACTTACTTTTAGGTTCATTTGTCTACTAAGAAAGAGGACAACTTTCCTGATATAATGGAATTGGCTACAGTGTCACTTGATCAACTCAGTTAAACTGAGCTATTGCTTAGTTGCAGTTGTGTTATTTGCCAAACCTGCCACTTAAATTCTGGCCATAGTTTGCCTTTTATTTGTCTTCATGCCATGCTCAGAAAAATGCTAACAGGTAGTAAAATGAAGAGATTAAGCTGTTTATTTTTAATTTAAAATAGGTGATAGTTTCACTTACATAGAATCAAGCTTTGCAGTCAAATGTGGCTTTGAGTCTGAGCTCTTCCACTCACAGTGATCTTGAGCAAATAACTTAGAATCTCAGGCTCATTTTCTTCCTCCCTCAATTAGGAATTATAACTAATGATTGTTTACTAAGAGTCACTATGAGGAGTAATGATAATATATATGATATAGTTTCTCCATTTGTGTTGAGATTTCCTTAATTAGGGTAAAGATTTCAATTGGTAAATTCCTCCTTTTTATTTTTATGTCAAAGAGAGAGAATATGAGTTGAGATGTCAATTAAGTGGATAGATAAAATGGATAGATTAATTTTGTTCAGAAAAATTATATGAGTATAGCTGGTAAAAAAAAAAAAAAAGAAAAGATAAAACATTCATTCTTTTAAAGGAATCTCCCATCTCTTGGCCTCACTCCTAGATAATTTTATGCCAGTTTGTGAAGATAAGTAGTTCTTTTTTGCCAATAACCATTTTAACTGTATTCTGTGCTTTAATACAATGGGTTTTATATTTGTAACTATCTTTCAATGCAGATAATTAACCGATTCCCAGTTTTCTTTCAGGTAAATGTTGGAGATATAGTTATAATAAAAGGCAAAGAGTATATACCTGCTGACACTGTACTTCTCTCATCAAGGTAGAGATACCTACTGATGCTCAAACAGTGTAGAGGATGGTTTCTCTACCCTGCATTGACCTTGTGATTTCTCCAAGGAAATAAGGAATAAACGAAGAATTTTAAACCTCTCTAATGATTTTTAATTAAGCATTTAAAAAATTGATTGGACTTAAAGGGCTCCTTCATGTTTGCCATATAGAATAAGTGATAGGTGTTATACTTTATAATTCAAAGTTATAATTGCAGTGAGAGTCTCTTGTCCCCATGGATGTGTTCAGATCCTTTTGTGTGGACCCCTAACTCTTTTAAGATTTCCCATCATTTATTTTATATAATACATGGATTGGGTTGTACTGATTTTTATCTTTCAATCCTTGTTCATCATAAATTCCTTTATGATGTATTCATATATTCCTGCAAAGTTCCTTGATCATTATGGTGAAATGGTACAATAAAATGGCTAAATGATTTCTTTTTTGTCATCATAGCTTTTGAAATGCCACGCTCTTCCTACAAAAAAATTAAGTATTTTGTTCTTTCTTTTAAGATCTTTCTGTTACTGAATTTAGATACTTTTTGTTTTATTCCTATTTAAGATAGTCATGAATTAGTATTCAGAACATATGGCACTGTTACCCTTTAAAGAATGTGACTTTCAAGGGTTTCAGGTTTAAAAACTGTAAAACTAGTCCTAATATAAATTAAGAAGAAATGTTTTTAATATTTTGGAGGTTGTTTATCATCATTTCCTTGGACAGTTTTATTTGTAAAATCCATATGTAAATATGGACAGTGTCCTTTTTTCAAAATCTGTTTAATCAGGTCATTATAAAGTGATTGGATTCATGATAGCTTAGTGAAACTTAATTGAGCAAATAAGAGTTATCCAGTTATTTATAGAAGTAAGTCTACAGGCAGTTGAAGTAACTACAGGTATTTATATTTGCATATTTTATAGTTGGCATCTTTTGGTGCCACATGCCTATAGGTTTTTGTTTTCAGAAAAATTAATATGGATGTTTTAAAATCAGTCTTTCTGTTCTTAGTTTCCTTTGCTTATAATAACTTTATCAGGAAAAGTTTCTAAAACTGAAGTAAAGCTAACTGTTCACACTTGGAGGTGTGACAGTGCATTTACGGGGGAGTTTATTGTCACTGTCTCAGGTTCTGGGTAGTATCACGTACTGGAGAGAATAATGCTTCGGAGGCAGAAAACCAGGATTCTGATCCTGACTTGGTGGTATTGAACAAACTAATCTCTCAGGCCTTGATTTCACATCTTTTTCATTGAGGAAGATGGATTAAATAATCAGACTCTAATATGCCCCAATTCTTTTTGTTTAAATTGAGAAGCTCTAAGAGTGCCTAACAGAATGGTGTGCATTTAATGGTACTAAGTAAAAGTTTGATAAATGTGTTGGATGACTGGCTATCTGAATATTATTTTGTATAAGAAAGTTTAAAATGATAGTAAGCCTCCTAGAAGTTTAAGTATTGGTGTTTTCCTGAATAAATTCTTAGAGACGTTATCATTGAGAACCCTGTATGCTGAACCATTAATTATAATATTTGTTCTTGTATGCTCAAAATTGTGAAGATAGTGTTGTTCTGACTTTATACTTAATTCTGAGTTGAAAATTTTCAAAATCGTTGTCACCTGCTTCTATCCAAGCTCAGAAACTCCCCAGCAAGCTCTGTGCTTGTATTTTTTAAACTTCAGAACATTTTTACAGGATTTGTTTTCTAAGCATTAAAAACATTTACTGATGGCTATCAATATATTGGTAGATCAGAACAGTTTCTGTATCTTAATATATCTTAAATTCCTCTAAAGATTAGTATATTCTAAAAAGATTATCTAATTTAGTGCTGCTTGTTATTTAGTAGGATCCAGAGTGTAGTATAAAGGTTGTGCTATTAGACAAACATTTCTATCCAGGTAGCAGAATACCACCTTTTAGCTGTTCTCCCCACCGCAAGGGTTTTTGTATTAGCTCTTTTGAACCTACATAAGCCTTAAGTAGATAGTAGTTTTTATCATCATTTAACAGAAAGAGAAATTTGACTTTAAGTCTTATTTTCAGCCAGTTGACTTTAGCTAATGACCAAGTCAAGGTTCAAATACTCCTAATTTATTATCTTCATTATGTCACACTGTCAAAATAAGTACCTGTGGTTTTCCACTGCAAGTGCACACCATTTAGCTAGCAGTATGTGTTAACATATTTATAATATTTTGCTTTTCACATTTTTTCAATTATTAATTACTATAATGGGTCTCCTGTGAGGTAGTTTGAAATTAAAGCATGAACATGTTACCAGATTTCCTTGGCTTTCATTTTGAAATGAAGAAACTGAAATTTTAACGTATAACAAATAACTAATACATTTATGTGTTAAGAAAGTATAAAATGAAGTAAAATAACTCAAGCTATTCATTCAAGTCCAAACAGATTCTTGGTATGTTTATCTCATACCCTCTCTGAAAAATTTTTCTTAATTCAAAGGCTTACCCTCCCAAGACGCTATTAATTATTAAATAACCTAGATGCTATTAATTATTAAATAACTCAAAAGGCTGCAATTATGCCTTCTAACTTCCTAAAATTTGCAGCTCTGTGTTAAAGTTAGTACGATATTTATGCAATTAACTTTAAGGACATTTTGGAATCAGAACTTTTTTTTTTTGTCTTTTTTGAGACCGGCCGCACCACGCTCAGCCAGTGAGCGCACCAGCCATCCTATATAGGATCCGAACCGCCAGCGGGAGCGCTGCTACGCTCCCAGCGCAGCACTCTCCAGAGTGCGCCACGGGGTCGGCCCGGAATCAGAACATTCTTAACAAAGTTTTGTTTTTTAGGGTGTGGGAGGGATCTAGTATAGTGTACTTTGTTTTTCAAAAAGCTAGAAAATAATTTTCACATTTATTTCTTCCCTTTCTGGACCAGAGTGCGCCACGGGGTCGGCCCGGAATCAGAACATTCTTAACAAAGTTTTGTTTTTTAGTGTGTGGGAGGGATCTAGTATAGTGTACTTTGTTTTTCAAAAAGCTAGAAAATAATTTTCACATTTATTTCTTCCCTTTCTGGGGAGGAGTGGACATACAGTGGGTAGCATGAGATCAAGGAATTAGAGAAAGGAAAGCCTATAAGGTAAAGTAGCTGTCTATAAAACATGTTTTTATTTAATTTGATAAGATAGGCTTGTGAGTAACCTTTAAAAATTAAAATCTTTTACATTAAGAATTGAAAGTTGAGCTTCAAAGAAAATAAGTAATCCTTAAATATTCAATATTTTCTTACGCCTTCAGACCTGATCAAAATAAATTTTGAAAAAATTGACATTAGACATTTTTATTAACATGTATTATTTTCTATAATAATTTCAAACTTTCTGTCTCTTTTGTCCATTTGTTTGTTTTTTTCTCTGTTATTCATTTTTTTTCCATTTTAATTATTTTAAACTGGGACATGTAGGTGGCAGTAGGGGAAATAGTGAAAGTGACCAATGGGGAACATCTCCCAGCAGATCTCATCAGTCTGTCGTCCAGGTTAGAACCAC